GCTGCCCTGGAGTCTGAGCCTGCTGACCCGAATACCCACTGGAAGAACCATGGATGGCCGGCGGGTGATAGGAACTCTCTGGCACAGTGCTGAAGTGAACACTAGAAGAATCCTGATAACCAGAATATCCGCCGGAGGAACCCTGAATAGCTGGTGGGCGGTAAGAACTCTCCGGCATCGCACTGAAATAAGGTCTCACTGGAGCACCTCGGGGAGGGGGTGGTGGTGCTGAATATGAGGGTCTGCTGGGCTGGCCCCTCCCGAAGTGGCCTCTACCCCTAGCTGGGGCACCTCTGAACTCTCCTGAAAACCGGGCCCTCTTGTCCTGCTGAATCTGCTCTCTACCCCTCAGGTGATACTCCTCAATCCTGCGAGCAATCTCTACTACTAGCTGATACTCAGTACCCATCTCCACCTCTCAGGCCATGCTAGCTCGAATACCGGGGTGCAACCCCGCAACAAATCTCCGCACTCTCTCTGCATCTGTGGGAAGTATCATGAGTGCATGGCGAGACAACTCAGAGAACCTCGCCTCATAATAGGTCACAGACATCTGGCCCTGCTCAAGATGCTCAAACTGGTGCCGTAGCTCTTCTCTCTCAGAGGGTGGAATATACCTATCCAAGAACAACTAGGTGAACTGACCCCAGGTGAGGGGAGGAGAACCTGCTGGTCTGCCAAGAACATAGGACTGCCACCATCTACGGGCCCTACCCTCCAGCTGGAAAGTAGTGAAGTCAACTCCATGTGACTCCAGTATCCTCATGTTGTGCAGTGTGTCCCTGCACCTATCGATGAAGTCCTGGGCATCCTCATGTCGCTCACCCCCGAAGGTAGGAGGGTGAAGCCTAGTCCATCTATCCAATAACTTCTGTGGATCGCCGTCCGCAGCTGGCCTGAGCTGGGGTGCCACTGCAACAACTGGCTGGGCCCCATCTGCGGGTAGTGCACCCGGAGTCTGATACACTGCAGCTGCATGTCCAGGAGCCTGAGCAGTAGGGGTCTGTGCTCCCCCTCTTGCCTGTGAGGTAGCTGGGTCTGCTGGAAATAAACCAGCCTGAGTCATAGAATCCATGAACCGAAGCATACGGCCCATAACCTCTTGAAATCCCGGTGCTGTCATAAAGTCTGCCGGGGTGGGCTCAGCTGCGGGCACCTCGCCCTGCTTCTCAATATAGGATCTCCCGCGGGATCTGCTGGTGGTGCGACTGGAATAACTCTGGGACGCCCTCGTCCCCTACCACGGGCCGGTGCCCTCCCCCGGCCTCTGCAACGGGGGGAGCAGCTCCGCCCAGGTCTGGAACATCAGCCGTGCGTGTTCTCACCATCTATGAAAGAATAGAGAAGGAAACTTAGTACACTAACCACTGCACGAGATGAGATGAATAAAGAATAGTTTTCCCAAAACCCTATAGCCTCTCAAAGATAAATACAGACGTCTCCGTACCGATCCGTAAGACTCTATTAGGTTTGCCCATGACTTGTGGACCTACGTGAACCTGGTGCTCTGATACCATGTTGTCACGACCCAATTCCATAGCAGGTCATGATGGCACCCAACGTCATTGTTGGGCAAGCCAACGTGGAAAATACTAGCTAAACTTTCGGTCACCATTACCCCAAAATAGTTGAAGATAATTCTTTAAGTTGGAATAATTCAGAAACGATGAGTAAATAAATAAAAAAAATCATGATAATCATACAACCCCAAAATAATACAGTCTACTAATGTGTGTGCCAAGACCTTGTGTCACGAGCATGGGCAACTAGTAGAATATACAAAAGAATCACACTATCCTACTGTCCGAAACGGAATAGACAGCAAAAGAAATACAAAAGAAAGACTTCTTCAGGCTGTTGAACGGCATGGAGGAGAAGCAGCTCATCGTAGAAGTCTCGAATCCGCTCAGAGATGCGCACCCGACTGATAGCCAGATGTACCTGCCTCAGATCCTGTAAAATTAAGTACAGAAGTGTAGTATGAGTACATAAACAATATGTACCCACTAAGTATCCCGTCTAATCTCGAAGAAGTAGAGACGAGAGGTCGACTTGATACTCACTAGGGTCAAATAATGTGAGGAAAATTTATAACAAGCATGGATAGTACAAGTTATTAGCATTTAATAATCATGGATTAACAGTTCTTTCCCAAGTATTGTCATGGATATTCACCTATATCTCAAGAAGATATTAAATTCAGTTCTCAGCGAAGAATGCTAAGCAAAACATGCGCAAGTAACACTGTGGGACGTACAACCCGATCCAACATAAAAGTAAATTGTGCACTGCCGAGGGTCGAACGGCTCGAACTATAGATGCATCTATTACCCCGCTCGCTAATCACCAGTGCGACGCGGTCAAATATAAACAAGCGCATCAACAAGCAACGATAATATATATCTGAGGAGTAGCTATACGCAGGAATACCAAATATTCTCTTCTAAAAGACCAAACAGGATAAGGTTCATTCACTAGTCTCATTCTCCTTAATCAAATAGTTATATGAATCCGAATTTATCGTCACGTTATGAGAATATCACGTAGAGCATGTTTATGGGTTCTAGACTACCCGGACTTAACATAATAGTCGCTACGCACGGACTCTCGTCACCTAGTGCGTACGTAGCCCCCACAAATATTGGCAATTAATTCAATTATTATACCTATGGAGACAATTCCCTCTTACAAGGTTAGAAAGGAGACTCACCTCGCTCCACAGTGCACCTCCAATGCCAAGAACAAGCCCAAGCCCTCAATTCGGAGCCGAACGATCCCAAACTAGTTAAACGAAGTAAGAGCTAGTCAATATAGACTCACAAGATTGAATTCCAGCTACTTAAGCAATTTTCCAACCACTAACGCAAGTTTTCCTAAAATTCGACCTCGGACCCACGTGCCCGGATTCCGAAATCTTTCGAAGGAAGTTGTTCTCTACAACCTAAGGATCACTAATATATGATTTCTAATTAATTCCGTAACAAATTTCGTGGTTAAATCCAAGTTTTATTAAAACCCTAGTTTTAGCTCTAACCCTTTAATTTTTCCTAAGTTCTAGTGTTTAATCTACCTAAAATACAAGTATTAAACTAAGGATGGGTGGAATAAATTTACCTCTTGATGCTAAGTGGAAACCTTCTCTTCAAAGCTCTCGCAAATAAAAGAGTGAAAAGTGTCAAAAATGGGTTTGGAACCCGTCTTTAATGAACCTCACTGGTCCAGTGGTTTCCGCATCTGCGAGAAAAGGGGCCGCATCTGTGAAAATGGGCCAAAGAGTTGGGACCGCATCTGCGGTCTCCAGGCCGCGTCTGCGGAGCCGCGTCTGCGGAGCCGCATCTGCGGCTTGGGAGCCGCTTCTGCGGTTCCTGGCCTGGCTTACCTGAGCCGCTTCTGCGATGCAAGGACCGCATCTGCGGTCTCGCACCTGCGGTCCAAGAACCGCAGATGCGGTTATGACAGAAGTAGCAATCCTTCAGCCCTTTCTCAAATTTTCCACTTCACTCGAGCCTCGTCCGATTGACGCTCGGGGCTCCCGGGCCCCGCCCGAACATACCGACAAGTCTGAAATCACAAGACGGACCTACTCGAACCTTCGGAACGCCCGAAACAACGCTAAATCTAGAATTCACCCCCTAAAACCAAATGAATCAAACTTATGAACTTCAAGTTCTTAATTTTTCTCCAACGGGCCAAAACGCCCTAAAACTACTTGGATTGTCACCAAATTTTACAGGCAAGTCTTAAATGATATTTCGGACCTGTACCAGGCCTCTGAACCAAAATACGAGCCCGATACCTAGGAAATCAATCATTAATTAGTTTCTTTAAATCCTTAAAACTTTAGATTAACAATTTCTAATAAAAATTCATTACTCGGGCTAGGGACCTCGGAATTCGATTCCGGGCATACGCCCAGGTCCCATATATTCCTACGGACCCTCCGGGATCGTCAAATCACGAATCCGGGTCCGTTTGCTCAAAATGTTGACCAAAGTCAAACTTAGCCTTTTAAGAAAATCCTAAGGAATCAAATGGGCATATTTCACCCAAAACTCTTCCAAATCCCGAACGAACCGTCCCCGCAAGTCGTAAATTAGCTAAAGCAAGCACGGAAAGTTTTATTTAAGGGAACGGGGTTCAAAAAGGCAAAACGACCAGGCGGGTCGTTACAAAAAGAGAAGGAAAATGTTCCGCTAAACTTTTGATCTAATATTACTTCCACAAAATTGTTAGGTTTTATGGACGTAGGTCAATTGATGAAACCACATTATATGTTTGTATCTTTTTTGCTATTTTTTATTTTTATTATCTGATTTATTGTTATTCAAAGTTTGTTTTACTAGTTTCCGCATAACACCTGATTATTTCGATCTTAATACAAACCGATCAATCATAGCCAAAAGTTGAGGTGAAAATTCGAATTTTATTCTAAAAAAATTTGAACATGTGAAGTTCACGCATTTTACATTGGAGCTCCGTTAGTAACGAATATAAGATTTGTTATACTAAGAATACGATAGACCAAAAGCGTAACGAACATAAAATTCAGCAATTTCTTAATAATGTACAATCTTTTTGAAAAACTTAATAATAATAATAATAATAATAATAATAATAATAATAATAATAATGTTGGCTAAAGCTTTTAATTGGAAAGAATTGTCCAGTCTTTGACAGGTCAGCCACGAGCCACCGACTTGTATTGACTAGCGACTTGGTCATTCGGTCAAACCATAGTAACCCAACTCATACATTTTCCTATTTTAAATAAATTCAAAGAAAATTAAAACTATATCTAAATATGTTAGCTGTGAACATAGTGTCAATTTTCTCCTTCAAATATTCAACGGTCAATGTTCAAATAAAACGTATTACAAACCTTCTTCTTCTAATTTTGACTGTTTCTTTTACCAAAATTTCTCTTTTTCCCTAACTTCAACCTTTCATTCTCATCTTTGACCCAACCCCATATATATATATATATATATATATATCCCCCTTCTTAAGAAGAGTGGTAAAAAACACATAACAAAACCCCATCAAAATTTTATACATCATATTGTAAATTATTTTTCTTACTTAGTTGATCACTATGATTTTTTGGAGACGTAGAAAGGACAAGGGAGCTGGAAAAAAGAAGATATCAAGATTGAATTCTTGTAAAGAACTTACAATTCCATCTCATTTTCTTTGTCCAATTTCTCTTGATTTAATGAAAGATCCAGTCACATTATGTACTGGAATTTCATATGATCGTGAAAACATCGAAAAATGGATCGAGGCGAGGAATTCAACGTGCCCTGTAACAAATCAAGTCTTGAGAAATTATGATCTTATACCAAACCATACTATAAGAAAAATGATTCAAGATTGGTGTGTGGAGAACAAAAACTATGGTATTGAAAGAGTTCCTACTCCAAGAATTCCTACAAATTCGTCTCAAGTATCAGAGATTTGTTCAAGGCTAATGGTTGAAACTCAGAGAGGGAATGAAAAGAAATGTAGGGAATTGGTGGGAAGAATCAAGATTTTGGCCAAGGAAAGTGAAAGAAACAAGAAATGCATAGTAGAATGTGGTACAGGTAGTGTTTTTGCAGCATGTTTTGAGATTTTCGCGAAAGTTAGTGTAGAAAATTGCGCGGATTTATTGAAAGATTTGTTGTTCGGATTAATATGGATGTTTCCGATTGGAGAAGAGGGAAAAACAAAGTTAGGATCAGCGATATCTTTACGTTGCATGGCATGGTTTTTGAAAGGTGAAGATTTATCTGCAAGGCAAAATGCAATTATAGTAATGAAAGAATTGCTTTCTTATGACCAAAGTTACGCAAATGAACTAACTGAAATTCAAGATTTGGCTGAATCTTTATTTCAAATGGTGAAAGTACCGATTTGCCCCTCGACTACAAAAGCTTCCCTAATGGTAATTTACTCTATGGTGTCATCTACATTGGGTGAAAATAACAACAAAGTTGTGGCCAAATTTGTCAACATGGGGTTGGTTTCTTTGATTCTTGAAATTCTTGTGGATGCTGAAAAATGCATAGCAGAAAAGGCTTTAGCAGTTTTGGACTGTTTTTGCAATTTTCAAGAAGGGAAAGAAAAGGCTTATGACAATGGATTGACAATGCCACTAATAGTCAAGAAAATTATGAAAGTTTCACAAATGGCCACTGAATGTTCAGTTTCAGTTTTATGGAAACTTTGCAAAGGGGGACATGAGATTTCAATAATTGAGGCATTGGAATTAGGTGCTTTTCAGAAACTATTGGTGGTTTTGCAAGTTGGTTGTGGTGAAAAAACTAAGGAAAAGGCTACTGAGTTATTGAAATTGATGAATATTTACAAAGATAGAGTGGATTGTTTTGATGTATCAACTGGTTTCAAGTATTTAAAAAGGTCATATTGATTTTTTTATGGGCAAAATCAAGCAATTTTTGTAGTACTTAGGAAAATTTTGTATAGATATAGAAAAAGTTGTTAACCCTATAGAATTAACTGTGAAATCATGATTTATACTTTCTAAGTTTTGTCCTCATTGCTTTGTCAGTTCTATATTTCTGCATTACGTCCGAAAAAGGAAAAAAGATTATCTTGAGAAGACATTGTTGTTTAATTCTACTTCCTCCGTCTCATAATATGTGTCGTGATTCTCTTGTGCACACCGTTTAAGAAAGAATAGTTTTTGATTACTTTATCCTTGTTAATTAATATTTTTTTAATTTATGTGTCATCTCTATCAATGACATTATTCATATTTTTACTAAATGTGAATACAATTGATTATTAAGGATAAAAAAGGAAAAATATAATCAATTTTGTCTGAACTTTTAAAATGACAAATAGTTTGAAACAACTATTTTTAGTAACCACAACGCATATTATGAGACGAAGGGAGTACTATTTTATTTAATTTAGGCGTGAGCACCGCTTGTCCAAAAGTCAGAGACTTATCTCAATGATAGAGAGTTAATTAGTTTGACCGATCCTTATAGGCAGGAGCAGAGGTAGAGTATAAATTAGAGTTTGGACGAACCCATTAGTTTTTGCGTAGACTTTATATTTGTATTTAAAAATCAATTAAATATGTATAAATATTCAATTGTGAACCTAGTAAGTAGTAACTACAGGCAAACTTTTCTATAACAGCCTCATTTGTTCCGATATTTTTTGGTTGCTATAATGAAGTGATGTTATAGATGATATATATCATATCATAACATAAAAATCGGTTCCGATAAAAGTTTGACTTTTATAGTGAATGACTGTTATATAGAGATGTTGTTATAGAGAGATCTGACTGTATAACAAGCTATGAGTTCAATAACAAGTTTAGAATTCATAAACTTCAAATTTTAACTCTATCTCTGCTTATTGTGTTGAGATTGAGCTTTGAATTAGTCAGTTTCTTTTACAAAAACAAAAAATGAGTAACATTTAGACACTTGGAAACTGTACACAAAATTTCATAATTCAAGTTATTAAGAAATAGGAAATAATAGAGAGTAAACAAGGACAAGATCACCGATACCTCTATGGATCAATGTTTGAGAAAAGAGGGCATATTCTCTATTCTTTTTACTATTAACACACATAAAATTTGCAAAATAAATACGTGTAATTTTCGTCTCCCATAAAGTTACAGCTTTCTAGTAATAGAAGCATTGGTTATCAAATATATAATTTTTCTCTTTATTTTTTGCCTTGACCGTGTTTTTACCAATTTCGTGTTATTCTATTCATGATCGTAGACTATACTAACTACCTTTCATATTATATTGTTTCCTCTTTAATTTAATGGTTAATTACCTTGATTAGCTAGATCGTAATGTGAATTAGGAATTTTTCTTAAAATATAAAAAGTCGTGTGTCAATTGGTCTGAAATCAAGCAGGCACAGCTAAACCAATGTAATCCTCCTACTCTTGAATGAATATTAAAATTCCAGAAAAAAGAATAGAGATTTGGGTTCAAATCGTGACATTTGTGAAACCTTCTTCTCAAAGTATTAATATTGATAACAATTTAATGATGAGTAATGACTTTGTCTTTTGTTAATTTGAAAAGAAAACTAAGTGCCCGTTTGAACATAAAATTTGATGGAAGATTTTTTCAAAAAAATTTCACTTTTTTTCGAAAACAGTGTTTGTTCATAAAATTTTCATTTTTCACTTGAAGATGCATTTTGGAAATTTTCGAAAATTTGAAAAACTGCAAAAAGCTATTTTTGTGAATTTTCACTCAAATCACTCACAAAACTTCAAAAACAACCCAAACTGATATTTATGTCCAAACACAACTCTAAATTTCAAATACCATTTTCACTTGAAAAAAAATTTCACAATTTTTTTCGAATTTTATAATTTTTATGTCCAAACGCCTACTAAGCCTAAGGATATTTCAAATCTGCCAGCCTTCGTCACACCGACACATAGATCGAACCGTCGAATCGAAAAAAATTGAGTGCTATGATAGAGCTCTGTATCGGTTATGTTTATGAGTTGGAGATAAGTTTACGAGGCGGATTCGAACCGAAGGTGGCAATTTTTTTGTTTTTCACTCGGTATCTAATATTGTATTAGAACCGATTGATCTGGATTCTTGTCATATAAGATTCATTAACGGGAAAAAATGATCCCTAAAAATAATTCATTCCCACTTGACCCCCTGACCAGCCAGGGTGGCTTTAGATTAAAGAAAGAGTATTAATTTTGTTTGACATATTCTTATTTTCTACATAATTTGCAAAGACTACATTTGCCGGTCTAGACAAACTCAATTTTTGAGCTTTAATTTGCTTCTTTTTATTCCAATCAAGCCATGTTTAATTCTTTACCTCTTATAAGTAATTAACAATAAGATATTTGGTATAGTGCTGAAGTCTGGCACTAGTCAGATTCGAAAGTTAAAATATCATGGTATAGCCAGTTTTCACACTGGTCAATGAAAAATAGTCAGCGTTTACCAAGTCAATGAAAAATAGCCACTATTTTGCTGCAACAGGGACCGGTCCAGTATAATATACGGGAGTTCTGGTGCATTTGTGTACGAACTCCAGCATATTATGCTGGACCGTATACTTTGCTAACTCCCGTAAAATTTGCGGGAGACTGGAGCACCAGTGCTCCAAACTCCAGTATATTATACTGGACAATTATACTTGCTGGAACTCACGTAAAATTTGCGGGAGTTCCAGCATAATTATGCTTGAACTCCCGTAAAATTTGCGGGAGTTCCAGCATAGTTATCCTGGAACTCCCGTAAAATTTACGGGAGTTCAAGCATACTTATGCTGGAACTCCCGTAAAATTTGCGGGCGTATTTTTTCGAATTTTGAACAGTGTTTTCGCTCAGATTTAAAGTGGCTAAATTTCGATGACTTTTAAAACTTGGCTATTTTTTAACGACCAGTGGTAAATCTGACTATTTTTGAATTTCTCCCGATTCGAAACTGTTCCAGCTACACTTCATCTAATGTCCTGCTGCCCTCTTTCTACTTGAATTTCTAAGCTGTTATTATTTCTTTCTCCCCTTTATTTTGGATTTTTGTCCAATGTTAGGTGTTCTTTTTGAGATCCCGACTAATCTGAATTCACGCGACGTAAGGCTTATTAAAGATGAAAATGTTTATTATTAAAATATTTTTATTCTCATGATTCAAATCCGAGACTTCTGACTAAGGATGAAGGGATTATATTCACCCAACTATAACTGTCAGTGACGCTACTATTTCTTTTGATTAGCCGAGAATCTATCCGAAACAGTTTCTCTACCTTCACAAGGTATTTATAAAGTTAGCGTAAATATTATCATCCTCAGATCCCATATTGTTGTTTTTGTTATAATGCGAGATTGTTGCCTCTTCTTGTATAGCATTATGCTGCCACCAAGGCAACGAACTTTGGTTTTTAAAAGTGAAATTTTTTTGGTACAAGGCTAAAGGATCTCTAATATCAAAGTGAATGTCATATGTTTTTAATTTTTCAAAAAATATAACCGAAACCAACTTACATACTTCATAAATGCTAAACATTTTATGTATCTTGATTGACCGTTTAAATATTTTTATACCGTTAATAGATATATTACAAACTTCATTTTTTAATTTTAAGCTAATGATTAGTTTTCTGCTCTCAATATCCTAATTGTCCTTGTTTCAAGCACAAGTAGTATATTACCGTCAAAGCTTATGGTCTAGTGGTACTAGTGATACAAAATTCAATTCTCACTGTCTCGTTTCTCCTTATATAATCAACAAATTTGCTTCTTAAAAAAAACTAGTAGTATATGGCAATTTTGTATAAGAATATTAATTTCTTCATTTTGGAAGAGCTTGGTAAAAGGATAATTGATAAGTAGAAATAATTTTATTCTTCAAAGTTGGCCATTGGAGAAAGGAAAAATAGGACATTCCCTTATCCACTGTTATTGGTCACAGCTAAAACTAGTTCCATCTCTAAGGAAAAAAAATAGCAAAAATCATATTCCCATGGCTTTCTCTTCAGCTTTTTCACACACCTCCTTCACATATTCTTCATCTTTCTCATTGACAAGAAAAAGAATTAATACCCCATTTAGATTACCTTTAATTATTAAAGCAGAAAATCCCTCTGAACCAATTGACAATGAAAAACCTGCAAAGCCAAAATCCAAAGAAGCAGCTTCAGCAGCAACTTCCTCTACTGCCACCGCAACAAAGCCTAAAAAACCTGTCTACTCTAGTGAGTATTGATGAAAAATGTGTCCATTTCTATAATTATTTTTTATAGTTTTATTTACAGAATTATCTTGTATTTCTTTTTGTTTTGGTTGGCAGTGAAGAAAGGTCAGATAGTTAGGGTGGATAAGGAGAAATATCTTAATAGCATCAATGTGAGTTTTAATTTTATAGTTGTTGGTGCAATTTTCAACCATGCGTTTCTTTTTCCTTCTTTTATTTCCCTTATCGACAAAGACTGATTCATGATTTAAATTAATTAGTGCGAATTGGTAATGTAACACAATTTTTTTTTATGGAATTTGAATTTGAATATCTAACGAGGTTTTATAAAATTTTCAGTATTTGTCAGTGGATCATCCACCTTATTACAAAGGCTTGGACTATATATACGAAGACCGTGGTGAGGTACCATTTTCTGATTTTCTACAAATGTTGTAATGTTTGTAAGGAAAGATGAAATTTGGAACTACATTTTATTTGTTTGATTATCCGATAAATTCAAATTCGTGTTGTGTAGTGACCATTAAATGGGAGAGTTCCTACCAATTTGGAACCACATTCAGTTCTTACTTAGGAGTTGGAAAGAAAAATAGCTTTTAAATTTAGAAGGAGCATGTTCTCGACTTTGCTCGATGTTTATTTAATTATTGTTTATTTATTTATTTATTTATTTATTTGGTAATTAAAGATTTTACATTACCAAATGTAAACTATATACAGTATTTATTTATTGATGATTGACTGATGGTCTTGCACTAATCATATCCCTTGTTAGGTATTGGATTTGCGCATATTCGAGACAGGAGAATATGCACTTGTAAGTTTATCTTTCGAAATTCAATTGATTATATACTTCTTTATTTAACCATAAACAATGTGTGTATAATTACGACGAGACTTGAAACAAGTAACCCTATAAATTAATAGTTCAAGAAAAATCATAAATTCTTGTTTAGATCAAGACTTAAACTAACATTTTTACCCCCTTCCAACACTTTATACAAAACAGATTTTTAATAATTAATTAAACAAATGCACTTATAGTTCACAAAACCAGAAGATAAGTTCTAATCTTGCTTTTGAGTTATCCTATCGAATTAACTTCTGTAAGCCTGAGAATGAAAATATCTTGATAGGGAGCATCTTACCAACTTTTGTGTATCTATATCCAACGGGCAGCCCGGTGCACAAGGTATTCCGCATTCACGCAGGATCCAAGAAAGGGCCGCACCCTAAGGGGTGTGATATATACAGCCCAACCCAATGCAAGCATTAGTGGCTGTTCATACATAGACAATTTTACCATTGCTCCAAGGCTCCGCTTCCAGAGTATCTATCCAACATGAATTCTAATTACCCGAGCCAATGCGTTAAAGATACGTATGATATATGCCTAACGCCACAAAACAAAACTTGGTTGGCTCTTCTTAACTCCAAGCATGCATAAATCCCACAAATATGACATAAAAGGAACTCAAACTTGAGAGCCCAATATCTAACTATCTGAATGACAGTACATTACAAAAAATAAATCCCAAACGCTTAAGTAAAACTCACTATCTTGCCTATGCTGCAGATTGGATGGATCGGAATACCAACTGCACCAGCTTGGCTTCCAACAGAGATGCTAATAAAGGTAATTAGCCTTCGAATTCATTCGAAATGCTAAAGCTATTTGCATCATTTCATGCTCATGTTGAACCTTATGGTTCTTCACTTAAAACTGTCCCCGTTAACTAACCACACATTCTCAAACCAAATCCAAATTTTGCAGTCTGATAAGCTGGATTATGAGAGAATATAGTAAAGGGTCCACATTTCGAACCAGTCAGTACATGTCAGACAAGAATATATCAAACTGGCTCACCAGATTGCTCAATGCTAATTGAAGATGAAGAGAAATGGGATGGACACACCTCCATAACTTCACTTCTTTTAAAATTTGTACCTCGTCTAGTTATATCGAAAAATAAATGAGAAAAAAAAAAAAAAAGAGCTGATATCTAATAGCTCATGTTCCAGAATATGTTATTGAACTTTTTCTCTTTCAGTGAGCAAGAGTCAAAGAAAACCAGACAAACAGGCTTTGCTTGAGAAACCTATCAAAAAACAGTTTTCTGGGGGACTTTAGTTTCAGTAGAAAATATAATTCTTTTGCATCTTATTTCTAACTTCAAATTCAAATTGCAAGGTGTTACTCCAACATTTCACTCGACAAGATATATTCAAGGATGAAGTTAACTAAAAATGTCCACCTAATAAATATTAGTACTACACGATTTCAAAATTTTAGTACTTATTTGTATTCCTTGGTTCTTTAGTTATTGCGAAGTATATAATTTTACTCTTAAAGATCAAGCCAATCATCTTCTGATATTGACACTATAAAAAAATCAAACTCTTAATAAGCTTAATAGAACTATTCAATAGGTAACTGATAAAAAGATCAGTAAACAAGAGAAATTCCAGTAATGACCTAAGAGATGCTTCAGATCAAATAAAATAAGAGATCAGTAAACAAAAAATATATTTCAGATTGAATACAATGGAGTCAGCCACAAGAATATTGCAATGCCTGTTTCAGTGTACCATAAAATGTTGCATATAAAATTATAGTGTACAACAATATACAGTAGGCAGGTAATAAGTTACTGTGTACAGCAGCCTGTATAAAGGGAAGGTAAAGAGTAGGTGTATGGAATATATGATATACAAATTGTATCTTTTTCTGTAAACAATGATGTACTTGGTATCAATGTCTGAAAGTTAATGAGGGTGGAAAATGAAATGGAGAAACTAATAAAGAGAGGGTGCCAGGAAAAAGCAGAACTTACAGCCTTCTCTTAGCACGCTTGGTCTCATTCATAAGCTCCGTCAATGAAGGAAGGGGTCGAGGCACTCTCACATTCATAGACCGGTATATTTTTCTCAAACTTGGATTATAACTCTTTGACAATCCAACAGCTGACTCAGAAATATGTCTACAATACTCTGTTTCTGTATGCATCAAGATCTCTTTACTCCTAATGTCTAAACCTTCACTTATTGTCAAGGTCTTACCTTCTTCCACTTCAACTTCTTCCTTAAATGAAATAACCTCTAACTCGTCAGAACCTCTCAATACAGAATCATTATCTGGAAGTATAGGCTCCTTCTCTTCATGTTTGAAATAAGAACCGTCGCGCCCAAACCTCACCCTACCAAATAATGTTACTGGGGCTGGTTTGCTTGGAGGAGAAAGGTGTGACTGCCTATAAATGCTAAAAGATGTCGCCGTCGACTGGGAGTTGTCTGCATAATCTTGAGCATTGCTCTCAGCCAAAGGTGAGCTTGAAACCTCAACCACATCTGGAGATGTTGCTGCATCAACTACAGATTCCAAGTCCATAGTAAACCCCAAAAGTTGCCAGAAAGGGTCATCAAAATTCCGATGTTGATTAATACAACGCTTCACATAATCCAGCTCCATAGCCTTGCAACTAGGTGTTGTAGAGACGACCCACCTAGGTGCAAGAAGTTGCAAAGCCCACTCCAGTTCTTCCTTCGATGAGTGTATGGAGTAACAAATATGCCAGACACCGAATATATCTTTCACTGGTTGATCACATCTTTCTTTTTTCCGCCCCTCAATATCCGAAATACCATCATCGCATGCATACCACTGTGCTGATGGTCGAATAATTAGAGGCTCTTGCTGACAAGCAGACCGAGCCTCTGAAATCTTGGCTTCTGCTCTTTGGTACAGTTTCGGAAACCCATCAAACAGTTGAAAACGAGAAGATGAGTCTTCAGACAAGATTTCAGGCACCATTAGTTCCAAAGCCTGAAAGCATTCTGGAGTTTTAACTTTATCAACATATATCTTGCAACCAAATGCCTGTGAAACATGCACAAGAATCTCCTCGTGGCCAAGAAGATCACACGTTAGATATACTGTAGGAGCCTGAGGGTGCTTCCATATGCAATTGATGACCTGTTTGTTGGGAAAACAAATTTGTTATGTTAACAATATTTATCCATCAAACAAGTGAAAAGAAAAAAGAATGGTCAAATGTCACATAGAATAAGGGTGAAAGACTGTAGACTAAAGACGAATGATAACATTTAGGGGGTAAGCCATTGTTGTATTGGATAAACATGATAATAAAGGAAGAGACTATACTGAATTTAAAATAAAAAATAACTATATTGATCGTGTAAAAAAAAAAGGAAGAGACTTAAGTACGAATTAGTAGATGGCAAAGGCGAGTCTCTGCTCTAGCAATTGATTTGAACCCAGAGGAATTTTGATTAACCGGACATTCTGCATCTCCAGCGTGAATGTACAATTTTCCCTTTTTAATTCGTTCTAAAATAGTGTCCATTTCAAGGCTTGAGCAATTAGCTGTTACTGCAATACAGAAAAGCAACCAGCAGTACCACTAGTTCCCTTATTTAACTTTTAAGTAAATAAGAATTTTAAAAAGGGACACGTCCTTTCTCATCTCAATACTCTTTCCAGGCAAGCATGAACATTCAACATTGGGATGGCAAGAGTACCAAAAATTTGAAAAATCTAATTGCAAAACAGACAGTGAACTAAGACAACATTTTTTCTGCCAAACAAAATTCTGATCACCCTAACCAAGAACAGTGCTTGATGTCCCTATCAAAGGAAAAAATCACCGTTGAGAGCCAGTCCAAGTAGTGGGTTTAGGGATTTTGTAGGCCTTTAATTTAAAAGGAAAAAAAATCACTGTGAAGACTTATAACAGTGCACTAAGTTTCTTCACCAATGTAAGCCATACATGAAGTGAGAGTGTGAACTAACTTATTAGAAAAGGAGAATGTAAATTATTTGCCCTTGATACTTGAGAAGCATAAGCTCGCAACTTCTAATGTTTTCTCACCACTCGCCCATGTGATTCACCAACAAGGAAGCAACCTTCACAGCTTATGCAGGTAGACATTTCTAACTATGTCAGCCTCCCGGAGGACGCAGTATGGAATAGAATATTTTTCTTCAATACAAACAAAAGGGTGTTGTATATAAGAATCCTGAACTTAATTCCTCACTCTCATTTTAGGTATCTAGCTGTTTTTGTGCTTGCTTTAAAGGGATAAGCTCAGGTTCACACCACTTGTCTGCCCTACGAGCTTCAATGCAGTTTGCTACTGAATTGTAAGATTTAGCAGGAATTCATGCACTAACTAGATCTATATAGGGTGAATTGAATCAAATCATAGGACACAAAACTCAAATCAAGAAGCATCTGAAAACCAATTGCCCACCAGGAAAGAATACAAGCTTTTTCCTACTATTCGGTGAAACCAAATTCTTTCTCCCAAACAAAGATGAAATAGAAACAGTAGGTTTAGTCTCTCTTGGACTCAGGTGTTGTGTCCGATATGGGTGCGGATCTAGAGGTTGGACTTCATGATCCAAAGTTTAAGATTTGGGGGTACGAATATAGGTGCGGGGATTTCGCTTTCTCCGTCGATTTTGGTCGAAGTACTCTAAATCGATTGACCAGATCTTGTACGGATTTCACATACAGACCCAAGTTGTGTCGACACAGGTGCGGCGCCAAAAGTGAAGAATCCGAGCAACTTAGGGCATATGTGAAGAGATCACCTAGTGGCTTTTGCCTCCGCTGGGGTTTGAACCCGAGGCCTCATAGTTCTCTTTCCACTTCATTGACCACTAGCCCAATACCATTCGCTGCTAGGTTTCGTCTATTATTATCTCAATAATTTGCAATTAATAAACTATTGAAGAAAAATTCATGTCATGCTTATGGCTCTTGAATAACTTACTGCACTTTACAAGAGCATTAAAGCACTACAGCTAGAACGCTATTAACAAATCCACCATAATCCATTTAAAAGGAACGAGTATTAAAACCTGTTGGATTGCTGACTGCCTACTGGACATCTTCAATGGAGACTGACCAAATGTGCAATCAAGGAAAATACAATCAATTCGGCACTTCGGTTCTTTTCCTGGGGTGCCCACATACTTTAGGGGTAATTGTTGCAAACATTCAATCGTGAGTCTGCAATCTCCTGTATGCAGGATGTTTCCAAATTTGCCTTCATACAAGAACATCAGAGCTCCTGCAAGTTGTTAACACCATGCCAAATATATATCATTGTAACCCTGTTACAACAGAGGTACCATAGAAGAACAGGAATGCAAGATGAGAAACTAAACCATCAAATTGAGGCTTTGAGGCATGTCCAAGATACAATCTTTAAGGCATTATTTTACTCCACTCACCCAGAGTTTGCATATTGACTATAAGACCACTTACGAATGCAACATAGCCTCAAAATATTAAATAAGACTAGAAATTAAAAAAAGAGCAGCAGATTGCAGCTTAATAGGTAGAGACTCTAGTAAACCTGGAGTCATAAATCAGTCTCGTGTCTTGGTATTGCCAAAGATTAGCAAAAGGTAACATTTTTTCAAGAAAATTCACAAAATTATTGATGCTCTTTCTTAGAAAGTTACATCAAGTTAATTACCATCCACAAACATGAGACTTTTGCAAATACGAGAATTTTTCCACCATCAGCATCACCTTAGGCGCCAAAAAGAGCTAGACAGACAAAAACATCAAAAAATCCCCGTAGAGAGGATTAGAAAAAGAATGAAATTCCCACATAATAATACATAAGCATGAGTCACCTAGCTAATAGATAGGACTGTTGCATAAGAGCAGCAGCTCATCCCGGGATGAGCTCCTAGTACTGACCTAACTAAAGTAAAAGGATTAGCCTAGGACCAATAAAGGAGACCACACCAAGCATTGCCCACGTCGTAAAACTGAAATGAGGTGGTGACCTTGACACAACTTCCGCAACTTGGTAACTCAACAATTCCGTCAGTTGTCAATACACTAAGTCAGAGACAGATAAGTGCGAGCTGAGAGCACAAAGATAAATACATGGATAAACAAATGGACTCACAGCATAGGGTGCCATCATTACATTTGAACAATGAGGTAACAAGTCACATTTCTTTTTTTATTTACCAGAAAAGGTCAACCTGAGTGCAGATACAGTTACCTATAAACAGCTTGGAGTATGAACCACATAAATCTGGCTCAGGATGCCAGGACTACTTCTGACAGCCTTAAAAACTTACAGCAACCAATGGAAAAGCAGACAACTACAGGTTGTTGAAGGAACACATTTCTGTTTCATAGTGAATCCTCAGAGGTTTTGACCACTGATATCGTTTTTAATGGAGGGAAGACTTTGTAAGACTCTACTCGGCAAATGCTTCCATTATTCAAGACGCTCTATCAGTTGTGGGTAGGAGTGGCAAACGGGCGGGTCCGGTCGAAAACGGGTAATGATAAAATGGACAAATTATTCGACCTGATCCATATTTAAAACGGATTAAAAAAATGGGTTAACCAGCGAACCATATTATCCATGACTTCTTGCATATGATCATTTTTGAGAGAATTCTTAGTCTCCCTATCTTGAGGAGCTCCCAAGTTGAAGCTTTACAAATGTAAAAGTTAGACCCATTGGTTATCCATTTTCTAACTGGATAATATGGTTCTTATCCATATTTGACCTGTTTTACAAAGTTCATTATACAACCCATTTTTTAGTGGATAATATGGGTGGTTAATTATTTTTTTTAACCATTTTGCCACCCCTAGTTGTGGGTACTCAATTGTCATTGGATATAGATCATACAAACACACATCACAAGCACATTCAGTCATTGTGTCCTTTGCTTTAATTATATCAATTTGGATTACAAACATACACACAACATAGGCAACCAGTGCGGGCATTCTATAAGCTAACTCTCCCATCTTCATCCACTCCCGAGGTCACTCATGTTATTGATAAGGTCACTCATCAGTGTAGGAATATAACCCTCTGCAAGCCCAAAATTCCATCTCGACCTTCATCATTTCCCTGTGGAGGTCGAATGAAAGCACCTTGAAGCACAAACCCTTCCCTTCTCATCAGCTAACCTACAAACTGCCCACTGCCACGTACTACACTTAAAACCACTGAGCCATTAACTAGTAAATTTAACAGTGAGCACGATCTCATCCATCTACCTCACCTGAGGGATCGTACTGTAGATGTGTATAATACTTAATCTAAGCCAAAGTGCAGAGTACACCTACTAAGGAACTCCTAGAAATGAAAAAGAAAAAAAAATATTCCAACAACATTTCCCACAAGTGGGGTCTGGAAAAAAAATTTCCAATGAACAAAATAGAAACAGCACCAGACTTTCCAGAAGAAACCAATATAACCAGCAAGAATCCTCTGAGCATAAAAGTTACTGGAAAACAAAAATCACAATGAAAAATCGAAAAAAAAAAAAAAAGAATGGTCCCACTGCATATTCGTAAGTACACACCTGGGCAATGATTGGCGTCAAAGGCAGTAACCGTGAAATCACCATCAGAATCCTTGATCACCAAACATTGCCCAACCTCAATACCCACAAAAAATGATTCATCAAGCTGTCCAAAAAAGGTAACTTTTCAACATTTTCAGACAAATTTGATAAATAATTAACAATTCGAACACAATTCATCAAAATTGGTAACATAACCGAAATAATTGAAAATAAAAGGGTACCTGAGGATAGTGCTGTAGAACAAGAGTTTTGGTGAGATGCGAACAATAAATAGGGTAAGAAGCGTAAGCGCAGATTCCTTGAGTATGATCCTTATGGGCATGTGTTAAGAAATGGTACCTCTTTGTGCTTGACTTTGGACTCCATGTGTCCACTGAAAATGGTAGTCCTTTTAGCATTTCTATTGGCATTTTTCCTCTCTCTCTCTCTCTCTCTCTCTCTCTCTCTCATACACACACTACACACAGTGGAATAATCCAAAAGGAGAGAGGTCGGGGATGGAGATTTGAGATTTGAGATTTGAGAGGGAAATATTCAACATCTAA